AGATCTTTTCTCACGAACGCGGGTGTCGACCAAGGCTCTATCCTGGATCTTACGCTGCTTCTAATCTTCATCAATGATTTTCCTCATGTCATTAGTTCCCAGTTATTCAGATGGCACTACCATTTACCGCTGTCTCAATAACAAATACACCAGAGCTGATATATTAAATCTGGTTGCTGCCCTTGAAAAGAACTTCCATTCAGTGGATAACTGAGGCAGAAAATGGCTTGTAAATTTTTAAACGCCTTCAAAACAAAATTGTTGTCAACCACCATATAGAAACTTTTGTGCTTGCCATCAGCATGGCTGGCGCCAGACTCTTGGAGAGAAACACACTTCGTCTTCTTGGCCTCAAGTTTTCATCTGACTTGAAGTAGAACTACACCAAATGTATTGCTACATCTACTATAAGGAAATTTGGGTCACTGTGTCGATCCCATAAAATTTTTTCTTGTCAATGTCCATCTTGCATATTTACAAATCCACCATTCGTCCAAACATCGAATACTGCTGCCATATCTGTTCTGGTGTCCCTGCAATTCATCTCGAGGTTCTTGACAAAATCCAAAGAAGGATCTGCAATGTAATCGATCCTGACTTGGCATCTCGGCTTCTGTGATTTTCTCACCGACGTAACGTGATTTCTATCTGTCTTTTCTACGAATATTTTCATGACAACTGCTCTGACGAGCTTTTTTCGCCCACGGATTGAGGAATCGGAGAGCCGAGTTCGAATTCCAGTCGAATCCATTACATTCGCTTACGAATCCATTACATTCGCTTAGGAAAGCTATGAATCCTCTTCTTTTCTACCCCCATCTATGGGTAAATAGCAGGACAGACCACAACTGATTTACGGCAGAAAGAAATGGCAACCTGCTGTGAAAAAATCTGCCTCGTCAGTAATGTATCGAAAAGTACATGATCGCCTACGCGTGTATGACGCTTGTCACATATCTGATTGGCCCCGACTGTATGAATTTAAATGTCCAACTAGATTGGCATATGGGTCCCATCCGTATACTGTTGAAATAGCCTTTAATCTAATTGGAGCGACTACATCGTATCAACATATGCATCTCCTGCAACGAAACTTGGGTCATTTTGTCGTGCCAGAACATCTTGTACATTTACAAATCTACCATTCGTCCATGCATTAAATACTGCTGCCATATCTATTCAGGCGCTCCCACTATTCATCTCGAGGTTCTTGACAAATTCCAAAGAAGGATCTGTCATGTAAACCAAATAGCCATCACGACTTTAGCCATTTTCTCACCGACGTGATGTGGCTTCTCTCTGTCTTTTCTACAATATTTTCATGACAACTACTCTGACGCGATTTTTCCACCTGGTGCCCGACTACATGAATTCAAACGTGCTACTAGATTGGCAATAAGGTCCCACCTCTTTAATGTTGAAATAACTAAATGCAACCGCCACTTCTACTTCTACAGTTTCTTTTCTCGCACTTCCTGCCTGGGGAACTCCCTCCCGTTTAACTGATTCTCTGATAAATACACTCTTCAAAAATCTAAATGCAACGTCAATCTCCATTTTCTCTCTTGTTGAATCGCGTTCAGATTTTGTCCTATTCAACCTCCCTATACTCAGCATTTTATCTCACTTTCACTCCCTATAACCCCGTGTGTACTAGTGGTATTCCCGCCTTTCTTGGGGCGAAATGATTAACAATAAAAAAACAAACTTTAATTAACTAAATATATATTACAGTTAGGTCCTTCTCTATCGATAACGGTGAAGACACGTCACAAAATAATTATAATTATCGCAGACAGAAAGCAGCTTAAAATGGTGGCGCAAATATTTTTGGTGTAAAACTGAATTGACAGCGTTTAAAATTAAAAAAAATGTTTTAATCTTTGTTATAATAATTTATTAGTTTTTTCCCTTCTCGAATCGTAAAACGTTAAAAAGGAAATGAAGACATCGATTTTATACCCAGCGTCAGCGTCAGGCGTCAGTTAAAAATAACCTTCTTTTTTCCATGTATCTAAATTATAGTTACAAGCTATAAATGTGAAAAGTGAACATTTCACTGAAATATGGTAGGTACTTCCCAAAGTTTTCAGTTGAAATCTAGGTATAAAATTTAAGCCAAATAGCCAATACATCTAGACGAAAATAAAGTTTCCGGCTGATTTCTCCTCCAGCGGTTGTGGAGAATCCTTTCCTTCACAAGGGCGTTTCCTGCTCTTTCTATTACCCTTTGTGCTCCTCTGGGGCTGTCTTGAGTGATAAGCCTGGTGGGACTAACTTTTGGAATGTCAGGTTGTTTCACATCCATACCAGTTTTTTTTTTCAGACCGCCTGTATAGTGTATCCCATTGGGCCCGTACCAATTCGATAATTTCTGTTTGAAAAATAGGGACAATAGTCCGAATGTAAATATATAATGTAAATAATCAACCAAGAAATTCAGACATAAAAAGGTGTCACTTTAAAGTTTAAACTGATTAGACAGGATTAGACGGATTGTTATCTAATTGATACAAACAGCAGTGAAAATGCCAAGGGAGGTAATTAATAGTACATGTAGCAATAATTAGCTCCCTTGAGTATCAAGAATCCTCTTGTTTGTTTTGGAACATGAAAGTACATATTTTCTTTTGCAGAGAGGCTCAGGGACACTTGAGGTAGCAGGTTACATCAAAGGGCAGTTTATACGGGTAGTTGGGGAAGATAACGGTTAGCTCTCGACTTGAATAAGTTAAGATTGTAGCGATCTGGCAAACATCGCTCAAGGTCATTTCCACAGAGCAGTAGTTCACGGGAAGAAACTGATTTTTCAGCGATGGAATACGAATGGAATGTGGGTGGTTTGCTACAATATAAATGGCATGGCAGGTCCTAGCCATGAAGGTTAGAATTGGAGGAACCAAGGAATGCTGTTTGTCCAAGCACTTTCCATAGAAATAGCAATAGAGCAGTGAGAGGCTTGCCACATCCTGTCTGTGAGAGAGAGGATGCAAGGTGGAAAATAATGAGTCACCCACAATGATGTAGAGATGCTTTTGGACTATCAAGATTAGAAAGTGATAACTGAGCAGCTCCTGCCCCAAATATGATAGCAGTATGCCATTTTAGGCATTATTGCAACTTATATTCATTCACAAATAAACAAACCATCACCTTCCAGCACTAATACCAAGACTATTACAAATTCTTCAAGATGGAACCTAAACTTTATTTTTCAATATATCACTTAATATTTTCATATTATTATATCTGTTCACATTTATATTCATTACATTCATATTATATTTATTATATCTGTTCACATGCTCAATGTAGATTTTGTTAACTGCTTATTTCTATTTTGTGTTAGTGATTTTTCTCTACATATAATCATTAGAGTAAATGGCAAGTTGGGTATATTTATTTAATTCTCACGGATGGAATACGGATGGAATGTGGGTGGTTTTCTACAATGTAAGTGACATGGCGAGTCTTTGCCGTTAAGGTTAAGCCTGGCCGAACCAACGAATGCCATTCTTCCCAGCATTTTCCGTGGGAGTAGCGAGAGAGCAGTGAGAGGCTTGCCACGTCCACCCGTGCAAGAGAGGTTGGAAGCTAGTAAATAACTGGTCACCCACAATGACCCAGAGACACTTTTGAACTCTGTCGTGACTGGAAAGTGAGGACTCCGCAACTCCCGGTCACAAATGACAACTGTACTCCATTTCGGCCTGATCTGGTTCTTGTAAATGAAGATAGTATGAGAAGCGGTGTAGGAAGCCAACCATTTTACCTGCATCTTTATCGATGGATCGTATGTGCGAGTTCTACTCGAGGTCAGGTGTGGATTTGAGGCCCAATAGTTTCTTAAGGCACGCTGCCTCCTCGAGGGGGACATCCGTTCATGATGACTGACGGTAAGATGGGGTCCGATCGTCGGTGATAACTCGTCTGGTTAAGCACATGTGACCCAACGATATATGCTGGTAAAATTAGGATAAGGTCTTCTAAACAGAATTCAAGGAGTATGATCTCTTAACTCTTTGATCCCTGTGTTCCTGAACAATTTTAACCCTTCTGCCTGAGCTCCTGAATCAAAATTCGCAAATAATTGGTATGTAATGTTTCACGGTAGATATAAAAATAGTTACAAGTGTTTACCCACCGTTTAACCGGTGGCTGGGCATTATGGCATTTTCTCTACCACCGGTAAATCGGTGGTCAGGGCTCAAAAGGTTAATCAAAGGAAAAACATTGATTCGCATTTTATATTTTATGAATATCCCTCAGTCACTGGTATAAACACAAATCCTTTTATCTGTCATACTTTTAATCCGACCAGGATTAATCGAAACATTTTATTGCCATTAACTATTACTGAACAAAAAGGATTATCGCTCTGTCATAAGTGGATCACAAATATGTTCTTGACTTATTATTGTTCCTCTATCCCGTCACATGATTTTTCTGATTTGATAATCTAAGGAAATGGTTAATCTGTTTTAAATCAGGAACCGCTGTTTTCAGAATAAAGGACTTTAAGTGGTAAGTGCTCCGATTAAAATTACTAAATTTTTTGAAGCTTCATTTCCATCGTCGTTTCTTAAAACATATTTTTAACTGATTTTCTTCAATGTTTACGGCATTTTTTTTAAAAAAACAGATGCTTGTCGTCTTTTGGCTTTCTTAAAGTTCGCCTTTTATGAAATCATGTTGGGCCTTCATGAATCTTTAAAGATTACAGATTCCGATTTTGACAAAAACGTTGTTTTTTCAATAGTTGAAAATGGAGATATCTGTTTAAAAAGAGTTGAAATGCGAAGAGTTAAATGTTGTAGAAAAAAAAAAAGAATTAAAAAAAAATCTCCGCCAGAGAACTTAGAGCCTTACAGAATGAAGAACTTAAACTTAAAATCGCTTAAAGTCTATTGTCAAGAAAAAAACCCTCGTTCTATTTAATCTGAGTAACCGAGAAAATCAGATATACGCGATATGAAAGAGATCCGCTTAGAGATACACTGATGGAAGAAGATGAGAAGATAAAAACACCAATCAAAATTGATCTTTATCTTTCGATGTTTATGGTAAATATTTGGGAAAACAAAAAATGATTTAAAATGTTATATACTTCTTTATTGTAAACAAAGAAACTTGAGAGTATTAAATATATATATATATATATATATATATATATATATATATATATATATATATATGTATATACTATTTATATTCAGGTTATTGTCCTCATTTTGTTATCACAACGCTCCTGCAGTTGTGCCTCCAGAATAGACGAACAAGACGATGTCCCCTAGACACGGGCAGCGGATCAAGAATAGTTTATCCGGTAGATTAAATAGAGAGTTCAGTTCAGAATACCATGAAGGTTATCCGTATCGAAATACACCTGATGAAAGTCGAAGAGCACAACGGCCGAAGGTTATGGTATCAACAACAGAGTTGAAGAAAATAGAGCGAATATAAATAGTATAATGATAACACTTCATCCCAGAAATTCAAACAGAAAAGAATAGTTTGTTTGATGAGAAAGGCTGTCCATTTTATTGTACAATAAACGAGCACAAAATGTGTAAGATAAGGGAGAAAGAGGCCGATAGTAGTCGATGTCACAGCGTCATCATGAAATTCACAACCTTTACTTAGCTTCATAATATGGCTTTATACAGTTTTGGATTCAGAATCGTCCTTCGCCTGGACTAGCTTTCAAACGAAGTTAAAAAACCCAGACACTTTTACCATTTGACCCAGAACTGACGAAAAAATGTGTATGCATATATATATATATATATATATATATATATATATATATATATATATTAAGAACTGGACGAAGTCCGACAACTTATTTATTAAAGACATTTTTTAAAAGAACGTTAAACATAAAAATGTCTTTAATAAAATATATATATATATATATATATATATATATATATATATATATATATATATATTTATTAAAGACATTTTTATGTTTAACGTTCTTTAATTTTTAAAAGAACGTTAAACATAAAATGTCTTTAATAAATATATATATATATATATATATATATTTATTAAAGACATTTTTATGTTTAACGTTCTTTTAAATATATATATATATATATATATATATATATATATATATATATATATATATATATATACAGTGCTGTTCGATAAAAGTGACTCACCTGATTTTTTTACTAAAAATATTTTTTGTCTATTGTTTTTGGGGTTAAAATTATTTTTAATCTTACTAATATAAAGACCCCTTCCCGACCACCTAGTAAAAAAGTTTACTCACCCTGTTATTCTATTGATAATTATAATTTTGGATATAAATGAGATTTAGGGAAAAACTCTGTGCAAAAAAAGTGACTCACATATCGCATTCTAATGATTAAACTGCTAAATTTAAAGAACTTTTGACAAAATATTGAAAACTATTTTAAGATACACTCAGAACAATATTCTAGAGAATTCTAGAACAGCTTAAATTAAATCTAGAGTATTCTAGAATATTCCAGAAAGCCTCATACAGTATAAAACAGCTTCAAATAGCCACTCAAGTCACTAAGCAGAGGGTACAAACACGCAACAGAACCACTTAAGGCATCTATTATTGCCCTCTTGTGACACTATTTAGGGTTGCGTGAAAAAAAAAGGCGAGAATTAATTAAGGTGATAAGAAGCTATCACGAAAAGACACTGAGTGATGTTATTTTTTCTAACAAGGAAAAGTGGTAAAGATTTTATTTTCATTAATGAAGAAAGTAAGATACCGGATCTGTCGAATTAATTTATGTTACGGCGCAGCGAAAGAAGATTGCAATCTGTCCATGGCAATAACGAAAATTTCAAATTGGTCAAGTGGCCTACGAAACAGAATGCTAAGAGATAATATTAATTAGGTCACACACTGACCGAGAAAAATGTCAGCTGGACCACCCCACAAGTTAGAAAGAAGGAAAGATTAAACCATTAACTATCTTCGGAGATATCATTTGGGAAAAAAACACCTGTTTTATGTCAGAGCTGGCCATGATAAGAGTTTGTTGCCTGGACAGATTTTGGCGACGGAAACACGTAGGCATTGAAAAGACAAAGAGATTTACTTGACCATCCTCAATGATTATTTGACGAAAATCTCGTTGACGAACTCCTGATGAAATTCGGTTTAGAGATTAGCGACCATCCTACGAGTCGTGTGAGGTCTGCTCGTGGAAGTGAAAGAAAAAGAAAAAAAGGAAAGAAGTTATTTTTTTTCCTTTGAGCGATAATTGCAAACACCCACGCTGCTGGGCGTTCATTGGATGAAGGTTGGCGTGAGTGGTATCCAAAGGTAAACTATAAAGAAGGAGGGGAGGCCTTTTGACGCCACCTGAAGGGATTGGTGTGAGATGCCACTGTGAGAGAGAGGGGAACCTGTTGACGCCCTCTGAGGGGATTGGTGTGAGATACCAATATGAGAAAGGTAGAATTTTGGAGGACGATTCTCTTTAAGTAAAGGACTTTCAAAAATGGAAAGTAATAAATTTTCCTATCCGAGAACAAAGAAGATCCTTATTGTGGATTTAGAATTACCAAGGAACCTCAAACCTTGACAAGCCCATCCCGGTTTTGGTCGGCGTCCATATAAGCAGAGTCGCAGTGAGTAGAGTCACAGACAGGCGGGCAGTTGTAGAGTTAGACAGACAGGCAAGCAGTTGAGATGGGATTGGAAGTTGGAGAGAGAGAGACGCAGAATTGAGCTGAGAGCTATGAGAGCCGCCTCACAGAAAGCTGACTGAGATCCCACGCAATCACGACTTATTTTTGAAGAACGACTTAGACTCACACCACCAAAACAAGTTTTACGAATATCGCCTGAAGATACATCAAAAACCAGTTTCTTAAAGAAAAAAAAACAACTTAAGATGTTAAGACTCGCCTAACAAACGCAAAGTGTCAACTATCCATATAAGTGGGTTGGGAGAAAGATGCAATCCTGTATTCAGCAACCAGATATAAAATATTCTTATTCTTTTTTAACACATTTGAACTTTTCGAGTGGTTTCTTTTACATATACTTGTGCGGTATTACTCTTGTTCGGACTCGACTTGCATTGCGGCCCGGCGACTGATTGATTTCGTCTACCTAAGATTAAATCACAATGTGGGTAGGTTAGACTAGAAATCAAAGCAGTTACTTCGGCAACCAGACGTTGGAGGCGAGCTGGGAACGACAAGGCTGATACCGAATCTAACCAGATTCCCATCCGAATCAGCAAAGGGTTAGAACGTCACGTTTAGTGCCGCGACCAATACCAAGTCACATTGGTCGTCGCAGGATAGACGGAGTGTGGGGCAGAGAGACATCACGGGGTGACGTCACACTCTCAAAAGCGGGCAAGTCTAGGAGAGAAATTGCAGAAATTACTATAACCTCGCAATCAACTGTCTCTCGAGTGCTTAGGGCACATAATGATGCCCACTCCTGCTTCAAGGAAGGAAACAAGGGGACAAAAGAAAAGATTGATGATAGAACTGGCAGGGTAATTAAGGGAGAAGTTGCGAAGAATAGGACTATAACTAGCCAAGAAATTGCAGCCAGTCTAAGCTAAGAGCAAGGTCTTAGTCTTGCCTGTTCAACAATCCGTCATAACAAGGCTACAAATCTTGTACACGAAGGTTTAAGCCGCTAATAAGCAAGCCAACAAAGCCAAGAAACTTGAATGGGCTCACTATTACAAAAATTTCACCGTAGAAGACTGGAAAAATGTTCTCTTCTCCGATGAAACGAAAGTTGAGCTAAATTCAAAGGATAAGGTGAGTCACTTTTATCGAACAGCACTGTATATACATATACGCAATTCTTTATATATATTATTTATATATTTTATATATTATTTGTATATTATATATGCGCGGTGCTTATTGGAAAGCGTTCAATATCAGTGATAGAGCGAACATATTTAGTTGAATAGGTGTGAGTTTGTGACCCTGGGTTTCACGCCATTTGCGATCATCAGACATACTGATTAATTTTCAAATTTTGGATTTATATATTTTTTGCGTATATTGTTTTTTGTGTGGTAGCAGGAGGAAAAATTGACGTCGGAACGTCACTCATACGTACGCAGAAACACATACACGCATATATATATATATTATATATTTATATATATATATATTTCAGATAGATATGGGATATATCTATCTAATAGATAGATAGCTATAATAAATATATAGGTAAAAAGTCAAGAAATTTAAATAAAAGCGAAAATGAACGCAGACAGGATTATATATGAAACAATAAACTCAATGTATTTCTAATTCATCGGAGTAAGTCTGATCAAAATTCGCATTTAAAGAATGCTGTTTAAATTACTGTCATGGTGCCTACCTAGATCGACAGAATGAACTCTTCCTAACGTTATATATACTATGCATCTCTGTTGACTGGTTCAGTCTGAAGTCGGACGCTCACTTTCTGAGCGACGGTTCGGTTCAACTCTCTGTCTACGGACGGAGAGGAACCCGAAGGAGGCTACGCCGAAGGGCGGAGTCTCCTTCGGGAGGTAAACCGGCCCCTGAACCCGTTTATACGGTTTCAAATGGGCTATTTTTTTAGCCGAGCCTAATGGCTCGGAAAGCCCACGTTAAAAAGGCCTTGTGCCACATGACGCTCTCGTGGGGGGACGACTAAATATAGTCTGAAGTCGGACGACCGGCTGATCGGTTGAACTCTCTGCCTTCGGGCGGGGAGGAAGCCGAACGAGTCTACGCCGAAGGGTGGAGTCTCTTTCGGGGAGGTAAACCGACCCTGAACCCGTTTATACGGTTCAAATAGCATATTTTTTGCCGAGCCCACGGGCTCGGAGATCCCACGTTAAACCGGCATTGTGCCACATGATGCCCTCGTGGGGGGGTGACTAAATACTAGTATTGAGACGGTACTGAGTCGAGCTGATAATAGTTTACGCCAAACCAGTCGGACAGTCTTACTAACCTTTTCACTTCTTGTATTATTTCTTATGTAATATATTCTTTGTTATTTCTACTGTTGTGTTTCGTGTTGTTCTTCCATAGTCCTAACCTTGGACCATAACAATTACAATAGAAAGTAATTAATTAAGGCAAAAATGTATAAAAAGTGCGCTAATTTCTGAGTCTTTACAGTAAATTTACGTGTAGGTTCATACAGCATGCCATTTTTGTTAACAATTACGGTTATTATAATTTGGGAAATTTAAAAACAGCAGCAATAAAAACAAAAACAAAATAAAAGCAGCGTTACAACGCTGAATGGCGTCAGTTCGACTCCCGCTTTTAGACACGTGGGACGCCAGAAATTAAACTGTTCTATTTAAATTGAATCCTCTCTGCATTTTCAGTCTTTCACTCGATGCATAATTATAACCGATGTTTGTTTTGCATTTCCTTCCCTCCTCCAAAATATATGATCCCATAAAAACAAAATTAAGAAATCCTACTGAAGCTCAGGTTATGTGTGTGTGGCATGATGGGTAGCGAATCGGACTAAGGACTCGGAGAGCGGAGTTCGAATTCTATTTGAATTTGTTACATAATTACTGAAAAAAAATTTTGAACAAAGTAAATATAAACAATTTTTTTCTATCCTCTGCCAGCCGCAATGATGGAGAAATCATTACCGCGAACCATCGTCAATGAGAAAGATTCACTTCTGCCCAAGTAGCCTTGGGAAGAATATGAATCCATCTCTATGGGTTAAGTGTTAGCTTATTCATCTAAAAAAAAATATTGTTAATACAAAAAAAAAATAAATAAATAAAAAAAATAATAAAAAAATAATCTTGCACTATAAAATGTTTCACTTTAAATAACCCATAAAGTGTTGATAAGCCGTAAAAAAATCAAATCAATAAATTTAAAGGCCGAAGGGCGTGACATAGAATTTTTTTTCTGTTACTCGACATTTGTCTGATATACAAAGAGTTTATGTAACAGATTCTATCTATCTTTCTATCTGTTCATATCTATCTATCTATTTGTTCATATATATATATATATATATATATATATATATATATATATATATATATATATATATATATATATATATATATATATATATTCTATCTATCTATCAGTTTTATAGCTCACCCAATACAATGCTCAACAGGTCATCCAAGGTGGGTTACTGAGTGAGACTGTAAAGGAGACGGGATTAAGAGAATTATTATAAAGAGGCGTAGGGCAGATATTAGTTAACCCCAGACAAAGAGGCCAAGATTGTGAGGTGTCAGGATTGTCAAAGTGACAAAGATTGTAGATGTCAGGGAAACACCGTCTCGTGAGTTTGATTTACAAAGTAACAGTATTGGGAAAGAGCTGTTTACGACGAACTTGCATTTTAGCACGAGAACATAAAGGGAATGAGGATTGTTTGTTACCGTGGGCACGAAATAGCGAATCCTAGCTGTGATAGTCTCAGCTGGTGGATTTAAGGAATGTAACTCGTCCCAACGTATGCCTTAGTTAATAGCGATAGAGTTAACGAAAGAATGGTAACATTTCATTTGTGGAATAAGGGCTGCAGGGTGGAGAATAATTAATCACCCAAAAGGCCGCGTAAGCGCTTTTGAACTCTGCAGCGTCTGGGCAGTGAAGATTGGGCAGCGTCAGGTCAGATATGGCAGCGATACTCCATTCTTTGTTTGATCTGACTCTTGTAAAGATAGATCCTTGAAGCAGTCGTCTGGTGTGTTCTGGAGCGATGAAACGTGCTGGCCATTCCGACTGAACTCGATGACACGAATATACGCGTACCATTTGAGGCCGGGAGTGAGCATTAGCCCCCAGTAGGCGCTATCTATCTATCTATCTATCTATCTATCTATCTATCTATCTATCTATCTATCACATTATGTTCATCTATCTATCTATCTATCTATCTATCTATCTATCTATCTATCTATCTATCTATCACATTATGTTCATCTATCTATCTATCTATCTATCTATCTATCTCATTCTGTTCATCTATCTATATATTACATTCTGTTCATCTATCTATATATTTATCTATCTATCTATCTCATTCTGTTCATCTATCTATCTATCTATCTATCTATCTATCTATCTATCTATCTATCTATCTCATTCTGTTCATCTCTCTTTCTCTCTCTCTCTATCTATCTATCTCATTCTGTTCATCTATCTATCACATTCCGTTCATCTATCTATCTATCTAAGACAGAGAGAGAGAGAGAGAGAGAGAGAGAGAGAGAGAGAGATCCGCTACCAAATGCTTCTGACCCCATAACTGACAGCTACTTTTATGCTGTTGGACCATACAGAATATCTAATGATACTTTTAAAATCTTGGGATAGAGGGTGTTATTGTCTTTTTGGAAAGGCATGAACTCGAATATACGCGCACCATTTGAGACCAGGAGTGAGAATTAGCTCCAGTAGGCGTTATCTATCTATCTATCTATCTATCTATCTATCTATCTATCTATCTATCTATGTATTCGTATGTTTATTAGCAGGATCAAATGCAATGCATCTATAGAACATTCACAGAGGATGGAAAAAGGGGGCAAGCGAAGATGTATGAAACCAGAAACACAAGAAGAAAGATCCCTGTCGCAGTTTAGAATTAAAGGGGTCCATTTGTAAAGAAGCAAAACAGGTAGCAACACCAAAATGAACATTCGTAGTATTGCAAGATGGCAAAAAAATAACTTTTTTTTTTAATTTGGCCTTTATGATTTGAAAATCAGGCACGGTTTCCCCTTAATCACGGACATTATACGGACATTGTATTATCAACAATTTAACTGACAATGATGTCCCTTATTAGCGAATGGATCGATCGCCATCAACCAACAAACATTACCCACATTTCCTTTCCGTTGCTCTTTTGACCTTTCTAGTCTTTAAGATGATGACGCGATAATGTTCTCGGAAGATGAGCCATTTTCACGGGTCGATAACGAACATTCTGCTTCCAAACGTTTGCCTTTCCAATATCTTTCTTAAATGATAGGCTTCAAAACCAAGCAGAAGAGAACATTGGATTTTGTGAACAAACTTACTTCAACTTGAATTGTACATTAATCAGCAAAAAAGCTATAAATGTCTTTTTCGATAAATATAAACTATCTTTCATCGGTAAATCACAACAATCTATTGATTAAAATCTTTTAATCAAACTAAAAAGAATTCGGATTAATATATTCATCAAAGGGATTGAATAGATCAATAATTGTAAATCGGTCTATAATTAGAAGGATTGAATGAATTTGGTCATAGCCTAATCCATTTTATAGACATTTTTTCCGACATTATGAAAAATAAATATATATAATAGTGGAGCTAGTAATATACATACTTATATTTGATAGGAAATAATAATTTTCAAATAATTTAACTAATTCTATTACATTTACTTGATTAAAAAAGAAATATAGACTATTTGTAATTAAGAGTAAAAAAATATTTTGAAATTGTAGTTAAATATATTGTATTCTAATCCAAACACCTCTTTTAGAAAGAACCTTTAAGTATACAAATACGAATTTAACGGAAAAAAATGCCGGAAAACCTTTTCTCGTTAATAATAAAAAAAAACCCAGATGACATGCGTTTCACGGATGTCAGAATTCGTTGAAAAATGCACCCCTAAAACCATATTTTAAATCAGGTAATTTATAATATTTATGCTCTTTAAATTTACATTGAGCACTGTTTTGTAAAAATAAAAATAATAAAAATAACAAAAAAATATCAATAAGAACCCCGGATTTATATATCTTACTGTTCCTTTTTTTTTATTATTTATATATATATATATATATATATATATATATATATATATATATATATATATATAATAGTGTTTATAAATTATCGGCTCAACCTACTCCCCCAAATATGGCAGAATGATCAAACAAGAACATTTTTTTGTCGCTGAGGTTGTTTCTGGATATTTTTTCAGCTGTAAATAAATATATCTGTCTGCAGCGTTATGTAAGAAAAAACAATACATTTTTCGCAAAACTATTATTTTTAACATATTCTGTCAATGCACATAATTCAGTAGAGAATATTAGAGTAGATCTGATGTGCACATGTTGTTCAGGGTGAGGCAAAAGTCACGCACCATAGAGGTTAATGGATAGGTCGAAGGGGTCCTGTTGAGTGACCCCCAAGTACACCAGACATTACATTTCTTTTTCTTTTTATTTGCCATGTCCTTTCAAGATATAAGCGATCATGGCTCCCCATCCCCCTCTATTCCTTGGGGCTCTCAACAAATTCCTTCCCTCTTCTACCTCCCTCAGACCAAGTTCTGTCATCCTGCTCGTCAGGTATGCCACGCGCTGCTTTCCCTTGTCTCTCTTTCCCTGCTACGTGAGTATCGTATTCTGCAGGCCCTCTTTCCTCATTATGTGCCCCAGAAATTTCAGCTGCCTCTTTCTGATGTTAAGCCTAAGCCTCCTTTTTGTTTACAACCTCATCGTTGCTCACACACCCGGTCCATGATATCCTTAGTATCCTTCTGTAGAACCACATCCTCGTCCTCTTGAGTCTCTTCTTCATCAATACTCTGCCCAGCTTTTGGAATGCGTCCTTGGCCATCCCAATACGTCTACGGATCTCAGTGTCGCACTTACCGTCCTCTGTCAAGACGCTTCCCAGATATTTACAATTTCGCGCCTGCTTGATTCTAGTGTTCCCGACCTGCAAATCGCAATTCGGGCTCATCCTTTTACTGATGACCATGCACTCCGTCTTCTTGTAGCTTATGTGTAGTCCCTTCCTCACGCTCTCCGTCGCTACCTTCTGTAGGAGATTTTGTAATTGCTTTTCCGTGTCTGCTACCAGTACTGTGTCATCTGCGTATCTTATGTTGTTAAGATTGTGGCCGCAAACGCTAAATCCTGGTAGGGTTTCCAATTCTCTCAGAATTGCCTCGCTGTATAGGTTGAATAGGTCTGGTGAGAAGACGCATCCTTGCCTTTCTATTTTTGTATATTCACTAAACTCGTTCCCTATGCCCATGCATGCTGTTTGCTGCCAGTATAGGTTCGTGATTGTTCTGATATCTTTCCCGAATATATCGAGGTTGCTGAGCAAATCCAGAAGATCCTTGTGGCGTACTTTGTCAGAGGCCTTTGCGTAGTCTATGAAACATAGGTACACGTCCTTCTGCATTTATATCGCTCTTTTTGATAACATTCTGAGCATGAATATCGTCTTCCTTGTTCCAGTGTCTTTAACGAACCCGCACTGTTCTTGTCCTATTTCTGTCCTGATTCTGCTACGCGCCCTATTCATCAGAATACAGATGACAAGTATTGTTACGTGGCTCATTAAGCTTATTGTTCTGTGGTATTCACATTCGTTTGTGCCTGTTTTCTCAGGCATATCTATGAAGATAGACCTGCTGAGGTCTTCCGGTATATCCCCGCTGTTGTAGATTTCATTTGTTATTTCCGTGATCTTGTCTATCCTAAAGTCATCTAAGGCTGTCAGCATTTTCATTACAATTCCGTCTGGCCCAGCTGCCTTGTTTCTGTTCAATTTGGCCAGTGCGGCTTTTCGGTTTTCAGAATTCCAGGTCCATCAGTATTTCTGTGTATTGCTGGTTGTTCCCTTACGTCGTGGAAGAGTTCTTCAATATACTCGCTCCAGCGTTGACGAATTTTTTTCCTTTTCTAATATGAGTGTTCCATCTTTTTATTTTAGGCAACCTGACATTTGAAATCAGTTCTTTATCAGATGTACGAAAGAAATATTGAGAAACTTAAGGAAAGAATGAAATATGAAAGTAATAAAATGACAGAGGAAACTCTCCGACGTGTTAATGAAATATGCAGGCAGAGAATTTAAATGTGATTTGAAAAAGAAGAAGACCATTTTGAACAGCATATTTAACAATTAAATAAATATCAAATAAAATTTTTATGTGTAATTATAACTTTAATAATTTCTCCCCCTGGGGAGCGCGACTTTTGACCCACTCTGTATAATGCTTAACGGCTACGGCCGATAAATCGTTGATTCGTGTTCCTGTTGAGATAGATTCCTTTATGCACTTATAGCTTTTGGAAAGGTTGAATTCATCTAGCCTCCCACCAGGTATGGTTTATGTAGCAGGCACGTCCAGGCAATTTAGACTTAGTTCGTGACCAATCTAAGTGAAGGACAATTCGGAATTGTAACAGCGAGCTGCCTCAAACTGTACAAAGAAGGTTAGACGTAAGAGGAAAGAAAGAACACGGTATATTTTAATAGCTATGGATAATCCAATAATCAGGCTACAGACGTACGATTCTTCATTCGTTAGCCAGCGATTAACTATTTTCATTGTTCCCTATATTTTTTTTTAGATGTCTCTCACTAATATTAAAATTTACGTCTTTTATTCAGAGTTTTGTGTTCACTAAAGTTATGGCGATTTTCAAAGATCAATTACCCGTTTTATCGTTAACTTCATTTTATAACCCAGATACATTTTATTCTTTACCACATCGATATTTTTTATTTCTCGCATTTTATATATGAAATAATAGTTTTGGGATAAGTTATCTTCCTAAGGTAACATCCTTTTTATGTGTGTATATATATATATATATATATATATATATATATATATATGTTATTGCATTCGAACGGGTGTTTCATGTACAATGCCATTTTCTCTATTCAGTACCTGAAGATTACATTGGGCATGGAACTTCGTGTCGTGATACCAGTGGGGAATAACATGTATATTTATTAATATATACGTAATAGCTCTGTTATATTATACCGAATACTATTTTATTAACACCAGCACTAAATATGCGATACCTACACACACACACACACACACACACACACACACACACACACACACACACACACACACACACACATATATATATATATATATATATATATATATATACATGGTTGGTAAAAAAAAACGAATAATGCAATTCATAAATATAAATACATCGAAAAATTGGTAACTGAAAGAAAATTGACAAAAGGTAAGAACTAAAAGCATCCGAACAGGGCCAAAATAAAATCGTCCTGTGCTTTAATTTCAACTCCAAAGAGAAAAAACAAGAGAAAACGGAAAGTGCTCAATACGCTAAGTGATTTTTTTTATTTTTTTTTTATTTTTTTTATTTTATATTTTATATATATATATATATATATATATATATATATATATATATATATATATATATATATATATATATATATTTATCTGTGTGTGTGTGTGTGTGTGTGTGCATTAATCATTTCAGCCCAAGACAGGCATTACTAAGACGTAAGGGATTACTGAGTGTGAACGAATAAGGAAAAGAGAGACAAAATAAAAGAAGCGGAATCAGGAAGACAGTAGATAACGATTGGCATCGTATTTAAATCTTTGAAGATCAAAATTGACTGGAATGCAAGAAGCTGGAAGTAAGTTCGATATGCGAGAACTGCGAGAAAAGAACCGTTAGCAAAGAACTTACAGTTGCATCTCGTCAATTCGACTGCAAAATAATGAGACCTTGTTGCCAATTTAGTACTGCGCTTAAATGCATAAAGTCTATGTATCCATAGAGCAACGTTCCTCAGCACAATTACCAAGATAGTCTTT